GTATTTATGTGTCCATGGTGATTCTAGTTATTCCACTCTGTTTAATTAAAATATTATCTTAGATACTCCCTTATCCTCTACATGACAAAGAAAGTTGCTTGAAATTGAGATTGTGCTTTTGCTGTTTAAAGGGAAAAAAAATAATTAAAATGAGGAAAGTTCAGTCATCTGCTTTTGTCTGTCTGACTGACTTGCTGCTTGTGATTGATTCTTCAGTGCAGCGGGCAGTGGCTTCGCTTTCTCCTGAGTTCAACTTGGCTGCAGGAACTTTGCAGGTTCTGTTTTACATCCAAACACCAGCACGTCCAAATATTTCTTCCTGTAACAGAAAACAGGTGTCTCCTCACAGCTTGGCTGTCTAAATATCAGAAATGAATGTAGACACCGATAAATCAAGACAGAACGTTTTGTTGTGAAAGGGGAAAAAAAAAGTTGGTTTTTAAATACAGTAAAGTGGGCGCCTCGCTTTGACTCTCCAGAGCATCCTTAAGTCATCCAGTCCATGCAACGTTTTGGTTTACAGAACAGGAAGGCACCGTGAGGTGTTTAATCTGTCTGAACATCTGGCAGTGATGCAGGACTGGATCCTCTTAGCCAGTTGCTGAGGTTTTACAAGCACAAAGCCATCCCCTCCTACTCACTCACACAGCTTTGTTTGAGGAGTTTGTCTCCTCTATAAGCACCGTTCTGCTTCAGGAACATCAGGTAAAAGCCAAAACAAATCTCAGACATACTGAAAAGTAAAACCGTGAGAGAGTTTAATGGCAGAAAGGAGATTATGACCTAAAATGACTTTTTAATCTGTCTAACAAAGTGTAAGAAGTGCTTTGCAGGATGTGTCCATAGAAAACTAATATCTAATGCTGGAGATGTTACAGGCATCAGAAAGCTGCAAACTGAACTTACTAATGGATGTCAGTATTAAAAGCCCTTCAGCCATCTGCAWTCTCCTGAGCTTTTAATACATTTTTTCCATCTCCAAGTTCGATTTAACAAGTAAAAAAGGAATATGTTTACTTTCTAATCAGACTAAAAAAAGCTGTTCTTGTTGGGTATATTTAGGTCTACTGTTTTGACTAAAGTGCACAATGCTTATTCAGCTACCTGTGTGTTTTTTAGAGGACCTAAAAGGAAAGAAAAATACGTCCGACATCCAAAAGTAACAGAACCGCAGGGCTGAGGTGTTCTGCTCCCGGTTGTGGTCTTGCTGACTGAGCACAGAGTAAAGGACTTCTGGTTGTCTGTGTTTGTTTCTGTGGGAGGAAGGATGAGGGGGAGCTTTGATCAACACAGGGTGGCTGCGTGCAGCCGCACATGATTTTGGGTTTTACCCCGTCTAAACTACCATGCCACATGGAGGGGGGTGGCCTGCAGGGAAAAGGGACGAGATCATTGTTCCCAGAACAGTTAGCTGAAGTAGACGTTTGCTGACTTCTGACGGTCAGATGTTTTTGTTGGCTGGTAATTTTGCTTTTTCGAGGTGCAAGGTTTTTTTTTTTTTTTTTAGTAGTAGCAGGAGAAGGCACTTGCTGAGTCAAGCTGATGAGGTGTTTTTCCTATTATCTATTATTTATTCCATCTTTTGTCGTGAACACACATCTTCAACTTATATAAGCAGTTGCATGATTTTACAATTAGATGTACAGCGTTTGTTTAATTTTTTTTTTTTGGCAAAAACGTGAAACTAAAGGCAATCATCACTTCCACCTGAAAGCACAGCGTCCACTCCTTTTTCTTATCGCCGACACATGACCGATCTGGAAGCGATGACAAGTGGGGAGGAAGGAGTGGGTCTGAGTTTGGGTGGTTTGACAAACTGTCTGGGCAATCAAGGTTTATTTTGCCCGTAACTGCTGGCAGCACAAACGTGCAGTAGAGAATGAAAACGCTAGCAGCCGGTCGTTGGTTTCTCCTTGTCTCATCTCCTAAAATGTTTGTTCTTCAAGTTGCCTGCAGCTTTTCAACCTTACTCTGTTTAACTTCTCGCTCACATCACACACGCTGTGGGGCTTTCTGCCAGTCTGCTCCCCTCAGTATTGCTGGAAAGGCTGTGCTGAGTTTCTGGTACAGACCTAAGAAGTCTGGGAGTAATTAGCTGTAATTTTTAAATCATAAACCTAACAAAGTGTCGTGTGTCTTACGACTCCTTTTTTTTCCCCCTCCTGTCCTCTCTTGCCTTCAATAATAAGCAACTCCTCAAAAGTTGTGAAAGTTGACGACGTGTTGACAGTATCGTTAGAAAACTGAAAAGACTGAGTGGTTTTTGAGGTTTGTGTTATTAGAGTTGGGTGGGGAGTAGTGGTGTTTTTAATTCGACTTTGAGTTGATTATGAAGAGCAGCAGGCAGGTAGACGAGCAGAAACAGGTCAGAACTGTCGGAATGACAAATTGCTTCATCAGGCTGATTAAAGCAGGCTTTTTGGGGTGATGAAGCTCAGAATAAGCGCGTTTTAGTTTCGAGTTAGCTTTTAGAACATTTCCAAACGTATTCTTGAATACGTACCATTTGTTTGGTGATGTGAAAATTGAGATTAATTCCGTAGTTTCAATAAAGTCGTCATTCAGGCTTCAACAGACTTTTGTCTGTTCCTTCAGTACAGTAGTTTGGCTGTTCTCTGCTGCGGAGAACCTGAGCTGGAGAGGAACTTCACCAGGAATGCTCGAGGTGTGCCAGAGACACTTGGCATCAGATCAGCCTTGAGTTTACACTAGCATGAAGTGCTGTGATACAGTCGTAAAGCTCGTATCTCCCATCAATAGTTTTTTTTTCATTTCCAATTTATTTTTTTAAAGATTTTTTTTTTATTATTCTTGTGCCCTTGTCTAAATATAGTGATATATGAAGTTGTGAAACAATTTGCTCAGAGAGAAAAGTCAGTTCCATGGACAGTGGTGTCTGTTTAATTGAAGGTTTTCCTCTAAAATAAAAGGAAAAATGATTAAAACAGCCTGAAARTGAGGCCATTGCTGCCATGACTGCCATAATAAATGTGCATGCTTCCACCTTTTTTGTTATAAATATCTGATAAGAACTGTTGTGAAGTAAAGCTTGATTTGCCCCTCGCTACCCGTATAAACGCATCACAAAGCAGCACGAATGTTGGGTGATTAATTCATCAATCATATCGAGACACTGGGACCAGGTGCTCATGTAAGATTGCCTTTTTAATGCCTCCGACAATTATTTCCCCATGAGTGGGAGTCGTTTAGCGCAGGGAGTAATGGAGGCTGAGAATGCCCCAATATTTCTTAGCTTTGTGACAGATTTGTCTTCCTCTTTGGTCAGTCGGATGAACCTTTCCTCACCCCTCAGAGATCCAGCTCAATGCTACTGATTGTTTCGGTCCACTGTCTTCATGTAGTCGCGAGCAGTTAGCCTCCGTTAAAATAGGCTGCAGGAAGGAAAGCTGGGACTCGGGCATTGCCTCTGCCCCTTTGGCTAACATCAGCCTGAGTTACCGAGCGAGTTTTTGTCAGTATGGAAGTGGAGGGCAGTCCTCATGGGACCTGGRCTCGTGCTACGTCACTGAGCACAAAGCAGCTCTGTAACTTGGGATCTAGAGCACATATGGAATTATTTATAAACCTTCCTGTGTGTTAGCCCAACCTTAATCTTCTGGGCTGAGGGTTTCCCCCTCACCTTTACATTTTTAAATTCAGTTTGCCTCAGAAAATATGGTGAAAAATGTAGCCTGGTCATGTTAATCTGATGCCTTTTTTTGGGTACTGCTTTGATTTAAAGCTTAGGTAGACTGTTTAGGTCATGAATTTGGTTTAGATAAAAKATAGCTTCAAGTATTGCCTTTTTTTGCATGGAACTTGCTAGCTATACCTTTTGTTCTTTTGTTCAGATTTAATTGCTTCCATGATAGGAATTATTAATTGATACAAAGATTTTATAGCAACACTTCTCCCATCAGTAACACAATGCCAGTGTGACATCATCTGTACAGATTGGCC